CAAAATCAGGAACGCAGTTCACGTTTGAAAAACGAGTCAGTTTCGATCGTTTGCGTTTATACATTAATTCGTACACGCATCCACAATAATAGTCACTCGATATTAATTGCAAGCTTCTACCGGTGCAGCTTAGAGAGTGAAAGGATTAGAATGAAAATATCGCCGGTTCTTCTGTTGGAGAGAATTCAGCAAGTACCATTTCGCAACCGGTCCGGATATTTCGGAAGTGACCTTCGCTTCCAGTTCACAACCGGTCGGCTTCGCGTCGTCGCGAGATACGCCTTAAACCATATAGGGATCGGTCACGGTGGCGCTAATAGGAAGTGTATCCTTGCCGGGTTGATCCGCTCGCGGCCTCCGCCGAGTTGACCGATTCCGATGAAAAAGAATTCTGCCATCTAAGGGAGTCCTAAGGACCGCGTTGCTCTCCGCGTCCTCCAAAACTGTACGAGGGAATCGGCCGCTCTTAAAATTAGTCACGCCGAACGAAGGACTCGCTTAAACTCGTTTATCACCGTTTTTTTTACCTTAACGATCGTTCCCAATCTTTTGGGGGAAACTGTTCGAACGAATCCGTCTGAGGAGACTCTATTTATTTCTGTCGGGGAGGATCGGGATAAAAAGTTTTAGCGAGTGGTGTCGCGGCGTGTTACACGAGCAGTCAACGAAGCGCTCTTTAACGAGTCGAAAAAATGACTGGCACATAAATTCATGCTGCGGTTTACATACCTGGTAGCTAAAAGTCACACCGAAAGGCATTAAACCCAGGAGCGCGCGCGCGCGCGCGCGAGCGTCGGATACTGTGTCGTAACTGTCTTTTCTCCTGTACAGTAGAATTTGATTAAAAATTAAAAAGCGATGCCGCGCGTGGGCCTGAGTCGATCTGATTACACGGGTAATTGGATTAAATGAAACCGGGTACGTACGATCGAGCGAGAGGAAACTGTCAAGGTTTCGTACCGGAACTCGGCTCGTCCAACGACCTACGCGGAGAAACGTTTAGAAAAAGCACGTTTGTCGCATTAAAGCTCGCATCGGCCGGGCAAAAAAGTCGGTCGCGCTCATTACGCTGCGCCAAGTTACACGTATCCCGGCTATTAAGTGCCCCGCCGCGGCGCGGGTCGGCAAGAAGAAGCTGCACCGTCGTGAAACGCATCCGCGGAGCAAAAAAGAAAGAGGAGCAGGCCGCTTGTTCGCATTAGAGCCACGCGCTACGAGATCGGCAAAAAAACCGATCGCATTCAGAATTATCGTGTCACGAGATACCCTGTCACGGTGTCCCATAGGCAAAGAGACGGTTTTTCCGTCGGCTAACGATCGTGGCAAGAGGCAGAGGCAAGAGGACGGAGGGAAAAAAGAAATAGAAGAAAGAAGGCGGCTCTGGTTTCTTGCCATCGATGCCCTTCAATTACACGACCGAGTGTATTTTAAGAAACGAACGCAACGGCGGCACCCCTTTTCCCGGGAGCATGACTTTTCGCATTCCGCTCGATTAATGGATACCGACGCCGGGTACGGAGGGGGGGGGAGGGACGCCTCCTTGCTCGTACCGTTAAATCGAAATAAAAGCTGAGGACGAGGAAGGTTCGTCAGGAGCGATAATTGGCACTCGGTTTAAGGCCGTCGCTCGAGTGCCATTATGACCCTCTCCGTGCATCGCGACAAATGAGGCGAAACGCCCGGAACCCGGGCACCTTCTGCTCCTTTGGTGGGCCTCCGACTTTCGTCGCTCGTCGTTCCCGTCCTGAGAACCTTCTCGACGCAATTTAGTCTCGGAACTCGCGTGAGAAATTATGTTCACGTGCCAACGTCGCAGGGAGGTCGAATACCGAAGTAGAACGAGTCGGTGCGAGTCAGACAATGCTACGATATTAAAGTCGTTTAGGGGAAGTAGAGTAAGTCGTTATAGACTCGGCTTAGGATCTATGGATCGAAGTAACGCTTACTCCCTCGAATGCCGAACGGAACAGACATTGGCAACAGTTTTTATTCTCATTATACAATTGCAACTTCGATCTCTGGCGCGCGTCGTCGAGGCTAATGGTCGTTCGTCAGTTCGAAACGTGGGATTCCATGAAATCTCGTGGAGGCCTGACGACGATCGGAGGCAGCGATCCGTGGACCCAGTACCGATATTACGAACAGTTTTGCAGAGCATCAAGGCCGCCTCCTTATACCCGAGATCTTGTCTCTCACGATGACTCACGCCTAGGCTGGCTGCCATGTCGCCTCTCTTACTCTCTCCCTCTCTCGCTTTGCGAACCGCGAGAGAGCACCCGCGGAAAGAACGAAGAACGCGACCACGGATAAAATAGAGGCCGCGGGATAGAGAACCGGAGGAAGAGAGATGGAAAAAAGTGAGAGCGGTTCTCTCCGGCTGTACGTTTTAACATAGTTTATAGACACATCGTGCCTCGGTGCGGCACCACCGTGGATCCTGACGCGGGATAGATCGATTACTATGAAACGAGCCAGGAAGTCTCCGGGAATTGTCTCTACTTCGTTGAAACTCCTTTGAAGATCGAAGATATTTTTCATCTATGGGAAAAATCGTGCGGCATAAAGAGACCAATTGAACTGATGATCACTCGATCCAAAGGAAACTTCTATCTGCCGCGCAGCGTGCCTCCGCTAATCCAATTTCCCGTCGAGCCATTTCCTCGTTAGAGATGCTATCAACGTCCAACTTGGTAAAAGCTAGATCCCGGAAACGCTCGCGATCCGAGTCGAAGAATCGAGTCTGGGGTGGAAAATCGTTGGGTATTACGTTGGTAGCCGGTTTCTAACGCTGGGAGTACGGCCTTGCAAATTGGTAGCCAGACAACCGGATGCAGGCATCGTCGTCGTCGCGTCGTGGGCAGCCTTGTCGCGACGGAAAACACCTGCGTTTCGACGGCCTAGACCAGGCGATCCTTTGCCTTCCGCGAATCGTTGCGAAACGAGAAGCATGCGATGCCTATTGTCGCCGGACTGGAACAGCCGGCTGAACGGCGTTAGAGGCTGGAACGTCGTCGAAGCTCTCTTGCTTCGATTCTTCCACTTTCAATTTCGCAGCCTCGTTTCCATGTAAATCGGTACAGGTGGGGGTGCGGTGAAGTCGTCGCGAGAAATAAAAGGGAACCGAGAATTGAAACTGGTTCCGACAACGTAATCTGTTAAACGGGTATCCGGTTTAAATTGAACCCCAGAGGATCCAATTCGTATGCGAGACCGCTGCCGCTCGTAACACATACCCGCTCGAAATTTCAACAAGAAAACTCCCTCAATTATCGAAACCAAATACGTGAAACGAAACAGGATTCCTCCTTTTCAGTTTCCATCGTGAAAGTTGTGAACGTCCTCGATCGGGAAAAAAACGCCGAAGGAGTCAAAGTTTGAAGGATAATATCTCCGCCCACGGGCCCCCTCGAGAACTCAATCTGCATTTCGATTAAGCTCCCAGCGCCCGGAGACACTCCTAATCGCGACTTTCACCTTTCCGCGTAATCGCGAATCTAGACGAGATCACCGAGAGCGGCCTTGTTTAAAACAAACGCGATTACTAAATAAATCCTACTCCAATTTTCCATCAGGAAGCAACTCGCAGTACCGCTGATTAACATCGGTAAGATTTGCGTCGGGAAAGTTCCGCGGTTTGTCAGTGACAGGCGGTTCGTGGCTTAGGAATCGAAGGAGCGATGTTAGCCGAGCTTTTATGGTTCGCGCGTTATACTTCTACGGGCTATGAGGTGACGTTGCTTTTTACCTTTGCCATTGTCTCGCAATTATCTGGACCATTAGTAGGAACAATGGACTACGTTACACGTTTAGCGAGCGCACGAGATTCGCGAGTCGAAGCGTGCCTTGCTCAACTTCCTATAAATCCAGAAATCTAATTGATATTAGGAGACACGACGACCCTGGGTATTTCATCCCGCGAAATAGGTTTCCCTGAACGATTTTCATTTTCCTAAGTGAAATTTATGTGGGTACGCATTGGGGTGCGCCGTTACGATGTTCGACACCACCCGTGGTGAGAGGTGGCCGCTAAAAACGCGACGCCGCGAGGACAGAGAACGAGGGGCGATGGGGACAAAAAGTGGTCGTTCCCTAAAAAGACGTGTACACCGATGCAATTGATGGTACAGAGAAAAATTGTGGCGAACGGACGGTCTCGTTAAGGATTCGGCATCGAAATTGCTCAATTTGCCTCAATGGCAACCCATTTCAGCTTTTTTTCGAGTATTAACGTCCAAAGACTTCGCCGCGTAAGAAGTTGTTTGCGGTTTGATTGAGCTACTTCTGCTTAACGATCGTTTCAATTATAAAAAACGTCGTTCGATATTGAATTAAGAGAAATGTGAAAATCGCCGAAATAAAGCATTACAGAATGTATGTAAAAGGAGACGTTCTTCTCGTCTAATGAAAAATCGGATTATTTTATACGTGCCGGCAAGAATTGCCGATGTAACAGTCTATCTGCATTCTATACGATCGGTACCTCAGATCGCGATAGATCTGATGAAGAGAATCGATTTTGATTTCACTTCCAATCACTAGAAGCGTATCCATCTCATTCTCTTGTGGATCGGTAATGCTGGGAACGGTAAAACAATTGGTCGTTGATAAATTGTTAACCGCTTTATACGATTAAACCTTTCACTTTGTGGCTGCTATACCGGCACGGGAATTAACACTGATTCGAGCGTCCTCTATTCACGAATAGTATTTATTTAAATTTAAACTTTAACGAAACAGCATCGAAGAACAAGAGGGTTTCGCACAGGATCGTTTGCAACCCCTGAATTCGTGAACTCACCCCTTCGGAATTTATCGATCATCGCGCAAGATTATTTGAGTGATCAATTAAGGATTAAAAGAAAAAGCAGATTAATTTTAAGAATCCTTTTAATATATTATAAAAATAAATACATACGCGCAATTTGTATATACGTATGTATGTATGTATGTATGTATGTATGTACAGTAATTTTTGGCACGTCCGCGAAGCGTTTGTTTTCGCAACTCCTCACGAATGGATGAAGACACGATAAAGAAGAGGGGATAGGAGCCGCGAGAGGATGTTTAATTCTTCATTTACGTTTGCGGAAATATTTTGTCGAACGGCACGCGGCTAAACACGTCGTTACTAAGTTTCGTGAATACGAGACCGAACGTTTCCTCATACGGTGCTTGAAGCTCCTTGAACAGCAGGTCAGAGTTCTCGTTTATGAAGCGGTTCATTTGCTCGCCTGTAAAAAGAGTTGATCGATACACAGCACTGGGAGATGAATTAAATATTAGATCATTTATAAATGACAGTTGACGTCTTCACGATGCACACGACGAAGTGGTAATCGACGCAAGTGGTTTGTATTCAGATCTGCGATCGTGACTAATTTTCTAAACGGTCAACGTCACGGAGAGGTGATCATCATCGCACGCGCTGCATTATCCTTCTCGAGCGATTCGATGACCTCGTCCGATAACGATCGTCATAATTCTTTTCCGCGAGCGGAATAACGATCGTCCATATCTGAGGTCTTTACGGGAAATCGAGGGTCCCTCGTAAATAACGAAACTAATCAACCGCGTTTACATAATTCTAAGGTACGAGCAGATGCTCTTCGTCCGGAATAAAAATTTGACAATTACCCAGAATACTATCGCCGTCGAAGAGATTCTCGAATCGTAGCGTCACTCGCGAAGGATTGAACTTCACCACGTACTTCTTGATCCTCAAATACGTTTCCCCGTTCTTCTGATATTTCTCGCAGTATATGTCATTGTGAGACTTCAGTTCGTCTGCGAAGTAGATACTTGAATAACATTTTACTGACAAAAAATTTATGATACCGAAACAAAACGATCGTAAATATGCTTACACATGGTAATGTTGGACTTTCCGGACCCTCTGACCGGTAGAAGCAACACTTTTCCATCGATTTTGTAATCAGCGACGAAGTCCACCTGCGGATTGAACGAATCCGACGACAGGAGACATTTATCCCAGTCGATACTGAAAAAAAAACGAGTAATTTTTTCTGCTGCATTCACAGTATTCACACCTTGGACTTAATTTAACTTAATTATCAGTATTTTAATTTCGTCGCGCGAGCTTGTTTTATAACATAATGACGGCATTAGACTTTTATTTTTTACGGATCATCGCGTTGCCTCGTTTAATACTCTTCTCTCTTATAAATGAAATCTCTACGCTGTCCTTTCGTAGACGATTACGCAAGCGGCAAACTGTTACTTTTATAGGAATAGTTTTATTTACGACCAGTGTTTGTAATCCGGTAAACCACCGACTCGCACGACGTTAAATTGAATCTCAGGGCTTTAAATTAAAAAGTCTCGGCTCGACTTACTGGTAATTTTTAACCTCGAGATTCTTCGTCAGCCCGTGCAACTTAATATTCCGGTACTCCTGTTTCAAAGTAACCGATCCTTGGGAATTGCCGATCTTCACGCTGTCCACGGCCAACGGTTCGATCGGTAGAATCTTGAAGCTCTTCAAGCCTGTAACATTATTAATTTTCCTTCACGACGGTGAACACTCGACCAGAGGTCAAAACATACAACGATCATCAACTTGAGCAATGCGGTTACGTAAAAGTTCTTCCTGTTGAAATCTCTCGATTCATTTTCCAAACTAAAATAGCGAAAGATTCTGCAACAGGAAACGGGCGACAGCTTCGATAGCCGGGAAACAACGTTCAGACGGACAGACGAATTTTTGTCGTAACTCTCGCGAGAGCGAAGGGAGTCTCGACGGGAGTCAAGGAGAACCTCTGCGAATTGGCTAGAGTCATTATGGAGAGAGAAACCGATCCTAGTTTTCGAGGAAATCGCGGCCTGCGCTGCACCGGTGAAATCCATCGGGTCGACGCACGCGATTTTGAAAACAGGAAACGGGCAGAAGGGGAGATTTTCGAGATCTCTTAGTAAAATTAACAGTACTCTACTAATGACAAAACTCCTTACGTTTCTTTAAGACATTTCTGTTAATATCGTGATGTCTTTAAAAAAATTGATTGCTCAATTACTGAAATTCCTCGATGAAGATAACAACGATCGGTCAGGTGAAATAAGTTATGTAACTGTAATTGGGTACGTAATGGCGTCAAGTTAATGCATAAGTCTCACGTAATAATGGTAATTCGACTGACTAGCCGGTTTAGCGAGGGGTAATACCTTTACTTACAATATTAATAATCGCGTCGAATAAAATGTATTGGATAAACAAATTTTTGCATTATAAATTAAATAGAAAGGAGCATGAAAGCAAGTGCACACTGATCATTAATAGTGCAACTAGTTCCTGTGCGAACCCAATAAAACTGAGGTTTCAATTAAAAGAATGCAGTTTCTTACCGCCAGCTAAAGAGACGACAGCATCCTTGACGGCCTCAGCGACACACTTGTAATACTGATCGTCCGGTAGAGATCTCGGGCATATCCTCCAGTTATTTGCTGTAAAAGAGAAACAAGGAAAGGTTAAAAAAAATGTTACACCCAGCGGTTGCGTAACCGGTTACCGCGGTGCAGTGGATTCAATAAAGCGCAGCACCGCACCGGTTACACCGAAGCTCGGAATTGACTTTCTCTTTCAGACCCAGTGTCCCCGTGCTCTCTAATGACTTTTCGATCCATATGAAATCGCAGTTTCATTGATCCACAGAGATTTTCATATCATCGATCAAAGCGGTTCGATTTCGTTTCTTAAACCAGACGGTGCAAAGTCATATTTGTTGAAATAAAAATCGGTACACGCTCAGTCGATTTGAGTTCGTCGGCTCGTACGAAATTTTAAATGTTATTGAACGAAGGCTGACCGATGCTACTTACGCAGATCGACGGCGGTGGCCGTGGCCAAAATCACCGCGGCGAAAAACGAAACCAAGGATAATTTTCCCATGTTTCACCAAGCCGGTCCTCGTTTGTCCTCGTTCGAAGAAAATTCCTTCGAGCAGCTGAATGTGAACTGAAAGAAACAGTCATTGATGCAGTGTATTTAAGCGGCAGGATCGATCGCCCCACCATACGGTTCGAGCCCCGGCCAAGGGACGCGTGTGTCTCTTCTCTCGCGAGATTATGCAAAATTAATGAAAAAGAAGACGGACTCTCTCGAATGATACGAAGATGCGAGACGATGATTTACCGTTTTGGACGGTAAGATCTAAATCATTCTTCCACATTTTCCCTCGCATTTCCCTCAGATTTCTTATTCTAACTCCAGTGGATAATTTGATGATTCTTTATACGAGTATAAATTATCAATTATCATAGGAATCATCTCATAAATGAATTGATCTTCGTAATTTCTTCGTATTTTCCTCGATCTTTCCTCGATTCCGAGAATGACGCATCATTTCGCACCTTTTTGCTCTCGTTGAACACTCATTTTGTTCCCCATTGATTTATACTCTGTGAAATACATTTACTTGTATTTTGCACCTATGTATAAAATGTTTTGTCAGTTAAAATATCGCGATGATACGTCAGGAGCGAATCTGCATAAATAACAGCCCTGAAAAAAATTTGACTCATTTGTTTTGACGCTGCTCTCTGACTCGATTATTTGTACAAATTCTCTTCTGATTTAAGTTCTTTCTTAAGAATAACATTTTTTTTTAAATCCACTATGACGCCAGTTAAGAAAAAAATTTTCGATATATTGTTCGATCTTTCGATTTACGCACGAGTTTCTTTCTATCGCTGCTTACGTGTCAGGCGAATAACCAAATTTTCCTTTCATTTACATTTTAAATAACGAACACGATGAAAAGTTGTCACCGAAGTAGTCGGAACTGTTCGAGGTGAACAGCATCCATTTAAGGGAAGGGCTGCTAACATATAAATCTTATCTCTTTTAACATTCTAATCTTATCTTCCACGGTGAGCAATGACTGTACGCAGCTATTTAAGTATACAAAGAGAAAGAACTGCTCTATAATAGGTGAAGCACCGGAGAAACCATTGCCATTTTCAGTATCGCGAACAGAGAATTTTCTCTCCGAGCGATTACATACCATACTCGTCGGATAACTCGTTACCTCGTCGTTGATGAATTATACCTTTTCGAACTTTATCTCTTTTTTACGACTCCGCCAAAATTTGCCGACATTGAGCGGAGCCAAGACCCAAATCGGCTCGACTATGAACGAAAGCGAGAGTTCCGATACCGGACGGATCGCCGGTGACCGTCACCGCGGCCACACGAAATGATCGGTGGATCGTGGGCCTTGATACGGTACGATGTGAACGGTCGATTAAATATGCACACGACTTTCTCGAAGATGGCTAAGGTCACCCGTTCACGGTCATCTAGGGTCGTTTCGAGGTTCACTGATCTCGAAAACTGGAGAACATACACACGCCTCTGGGATTCTAGAATTAATACATTATTAAACGAGTTAAGATTCGATTGTCGACGACTGTGGATGTCGAAACCGATACTTATAATCCGAAAGCAACGCATGTTGTAATCGGTCAATTCTAAAATGTTTTATACTATTTTCTGATCGATTTAAAATTCTATTTTTTCGATTTGACTTATCGATTCGAGGAAACGAATGACAACTTCGATTACGCCATTTTCTTTAAGTTTGTAATAGAATACCGGTCACGAAGTGGTCTCGAGAGTGAGTAATTCTTGTAATTAAAGTGGCGGGACTAGGAAAAGGTTGTCTAAGAAAAACATTAGGAAAACAAACAGAGGAAATATACATATCGCGCATTAGTTACGATGCAAAGTTTTATAACGCTCACCGCGATATGCAAATAACGAGAGAGGCTGACCGATTCGCGGATTTGAAATTCAAAGGATGATTCATTATTCTTTATCAAAATGATCGTAAATCTTTATGCAGATTCTTTTATCGTTCACTGATTATTATCTTCGAATTATTTCCGAGATAGTTTAAGACACGACGAGGTTGCAGTGACGCAATTCTAATTTCATTTGAAATTGTAATGAACATAGTTGGATTACGTTAGGTCAGATACGTTTTAATCTTTGTAACATTCCATTAAAAATCCGCGTCTTTTGTATCCTGCGACCAATTTGCATTTAAATGTCCGCGGTGAATTGAGCACTCACGAAATTGAACTCGCTCGTTGAATAACAAAATAGACACGAGAATCTGACTAACGATAAAGAAATAATGATCGTAAATTGATCTACACGGAAGCTTCGACGGTACAGTTAGATTGAGTCATCGAAGATCATTTACGCACGTACATCGAACGAGTAGATGATAGCGATTTATAAGAAAACAAAGGGGAATGAATAAAACGTGATTTTATTTATTCTTGTACCAGCATACAAATATGTGAAATATCAAGGCAATCGTTTTTGATATTTGAGCGCTAAGCTGCTTAGCGGAGCTCTAATTTTAGTGATTCCGAGATCGACGGCGTGGCCGGTCAAGGGACAGGCCTGACATCGTTTTTTCTTTTGATTAACATTGAAATCGCTCTTCTCCTGGCGAACTATGTACCTCGGAAAGTAATGCATTCGTTTCCATTGCGTAGTAACGCAAGCAGGCATCGTTACCACCAAGTTTTTCCTGTGCACACACCGTGCGGGTTCGGGAAACAGTCTATCGTTCAGCAAGTATTGTTCTAAAGAACCGGTGGACTTCGACGATCCCAAGGCTTGGCTGGACCCATGGGTGTCGAAATAATTCAGCTCACGGAATTTCTTCAATTCTCTCACTTCTCTCTCGGAAAGAATCTCGGTTTCCTTCGTAGGTTTATTCACCCGTGCGTTTTCCAAATCTCGATTCTCTCCGTCGAACGAAGTTTTCGAACGTGTTTGCCTGTCCCTCTCGGAATACTGACTCTCCGCGTTTTTACTCTTAGGTGCTAATTTCGAACTAGATTCAGTCTTCTTTACATCAGGTACAGAAGTCTTGGAGGTCAGCGTCTTCTTGATGACCTTAGGGTTCAGGGATACTTGAACTCCCTTGCTAGATTTTCTCTCCAGATTGCCAAGATTCGAATATTCTCCAGTCTCCGAGTTGTCTGGTACTGTTAAATGATTCGGTGATGATTGTTTCAATCGATACGTGTAATCATCTTCGCGATCGTCTCTCCTCGACATGAGCTCGTGGTAGTACCGCGATTTGTAACACGTCTCCGGGCAATCTCCCGTCCCGTAGTGTAAAAAGGAAACCTTGCTCTTGACATTTCGCAAAAATTGCGATCTGGGCGTGTAATCTATCTTCTTGACTCTCCTCAAAGTCTCGCAGCTGATAGGTGAAGTTAAAGCTGGCTTTTCGGAATTGTCTTCAATCACTATAGCAGGAACGGCAGTATGACTCTTGCATCTTTTGCAGGGCGAGTATTGTTTTCTTCGTACCCTAGCTGGCTTCGATTGAATCCTCTTGACCTCGGGATTGCAATAACATTCCTTCACAGCTGTTCTATGAACCAGCTGCGTGCAGCATTGATGCTCGTGACACTTTTTCGACGACGTTAGCACTCTCTTTGCATTAGGCATCGATGCGAGCGACTCGGAACTGTTACGAAAATGCTCAAAACCCAAAGCTCCACCAACCCCGCTCGAATCGTTCCTTAACTTCCATGATTGTACATTCGCTTTGGACGGTCTTTTCTCAGATTTCCTACAGCTCTCTCTGAGTATCCTGAAAACAATCGTGGTCGTTAAAGTTTATCTAGGAACGAATCATGCGGTACGAAAACTAGATACGTACAGATCTTGGGAATAGAATCTCTTGATCTCGTCTTTAACTCTCTTGGAATTCTCCTCCACTCGAGCCAATAAAATTTTACTTCGTCTACGTAAATTATCTATCCTTTCGTTCAGGCTGTCACCCATATGATTGATGATGCTCGAGAAAAAAATTGTTGAATCTCATCCGAGATCATTGAACACGCTTCTTGTCATCTCTGATTATTTTAATTATTAACATCGTCCGTTGAAAAATCGCTGCACAATGAATATTTATTCCTACTTTCTCGATCGAAGCTAGCCAAACGACGGTCAATCGTCCACTGTAAACAGAGACGCGGCCAGGTGTGCCACGATAACAACAACGATTTTTTCTTCGCAATTTATTTTTTTAATTACGTGTGGAAATTTCATTTTTTATGAAGCGTGTTTCTTACTATTGTACACGTGCGTTTCGCTCACGTTTAGAAAAAATTGTCTCAATTTTTTTAAACGTCCGGGCGAATGTCGTGAACAGCGGTTCAGTAGCAGCCATATTGTGGCAACAGTAGGACGCGGTGTGTGTTTTGCGAGGATGTATCGTCGCTGGAAGTATCGTTTAATTTAATTAACCGTGTCGTGTTCTCCGTTAACGCGTTAGTCAACCTGTGAATTACATGAGAAACATGAGACTGAAAACGTAATCCATCGTCGACTGGTTCACTCGATGCTCTTTGAGGAGCATTTTTAGGTTACATACGTTCTCGCATGCTTCCGGCCGCGCGTAAATATTATCACCGTATTCAACGATGGACTTCTCGGAGAACAATACGATTCAGTTCCCACACTTTTCGGAATTGACGTCGCGATCGAACGCGTCGAAATTCGCCAGCGATGATCACGGACAAGGGGACCAAACGGTTATTTACACAACCGCCGTTGGCCAAAATCAAGCCAAGCAGAATTTGCTGGTACGATTCACCGTTTTACCTTTATGTATTTCATATTGATGTTTTGATCGTTTTCTTTTCATAGATGAGTTCGGCAAATAAATGTTCAGCACCGATGCTGGCCTGGCCAGATCCGAATACTCTGATACAATTGTGTGAGAAGCAAGGCATTCGCACCATCAACATTCCTAATTACAGTCAGAACAATGCAATACTCAGTGTACAATCAAACAGTTTGCCTAGGATCATACCTAACATGTATCTCCAGTCGACCTCGCAGCATGAAAATACAAAGCAAGACATAGAGACAAGTACTGAAAATGAGAAACAAACTTCAACAATGGTAAAGAAATACTTCTTTACAATTAGATTTTTATAGTTTGTGAAAATATGAATTAAAGGGATTTGTTTAATAAGAGATTGTTATTCCAGCAAGATGCCCAAGCTCAACTTCAAAGTCAAAGTGCCATGACAGAATACTTCCAAAAATTGCAAGCCACCACTCTCCCACTAACGTTGCAGCAACTGATCAAGCTTCAATCGGAGCAGACAAAGAAAGACAAGACTGAAGAGGAGAAAGTGGAGCACATGCAGAACAGTATACTCAACATTCCCAGTATTCCTGTGTTCAGAAACACTCAGCTGCAAAATGGAAGCAACAGTTTCATGAACTCGGACCAGATGATGATTTCCATCAACCCGCACGACTTGAACTTACACATGGAGCAAGACCAAGAACAACAGCAACAAGAGAACGAGAATACCGCGCAAATGAAGATCGAGCAGCAAATACAAACGGACTCGCCAAAGACTGAGAAGAAGATGAAGTTCCGGGCGAAAACCGGGGAGATAAAGATCGCCCTCGCGATGGATGGCACGCCGGTCTACTGTTGCCCCGAGTGCAATTTGGCATCTACGGATAAGGCAGAGATCGACCAGCATGTACAAGCTCATATACAAGTACGTATCGAAGCGTTTGAGGGTCCTCGATTAAAAATAAGTACGATGACTCAATAGAACGTTTTACTTTACAGGAACGTAAATACCAATGTAAGGAATGCGGCGCGATGCTGAAACGGAAGGAGCATTTGGATCAACACATGCGCGGCCACTCGGACGAGAGGCCTTTCAAGTGTCCCGTGTGCCAAAAAGCGTTCAAGAGAAACGAGCATCTGACGAGGCATTACGTTATACACTCGGGGGACAAGAACTTCGCGTGTTCCGTGTGCCAGAAGGCGTTCTCCAGGAAAGATCATTTGAACAAGCATTTGCAAACGCACTTGGGTATTAAGAAAAGCAGGTCGAAGAAAGAGACGTTCTTCGTGGAGCAGAAGGAACCTTTGGAGAAGGCAACCGAGGTTCCCGCGATGCCTAAGGAGGAGACGAGTTTTGTCTTGAAGGAGGGCGCTTTTGTGAAGCAGGAGCCTAATAATTTTCTACAGTACATACAAAGTTTACATAAGGACCAGAATCTGATCCACACCTTCTCCTCGTTCAAAGAGCAGGCGACGAAAGAGATGAACGTGTTGCAGCAGCAGGCAGTGAACATGAACGAGATATTGCCGCAGAATAGAAGGTACTTAATGCCATCTTAGTCGTAAATAATTTCGTTTCGAAATCCAAAGCAATAAAGGCTGTTTACCGGGAAAGTGTCGCGGTTTAGCACAAGAAATAGAACAATTCGTTAGACGTTTAATAATTGAGATGATAGTCTAAAATTTCGATCGACATATTTTAATGGATACCAATAAGTTCATAGTCGAATTTCTGTAGGTAATAGAACAGGATTTAAAAAATTAAGACCCTGCGGGCCATTTTTTAAATTCGACATTGTCTGATTTTTACAAATGAGAAAACAAAAATTTAACGACGGCTTGTGCGCGGGCATGCGGCTTATTTTAAGTAAAATAGGATTAAAGAAAATTCTAGTCTACGATTACAGAATGGAGAGACAAATGTGAGTCGCTCGGGTCTCTTTATTACGAAAGACTAATTTTTCTTTTGCTCGAGTTCCATGCGCATATTTATGACGTTAAAACGGAGCTGAGTTTAGATGATAAATCTGCCATTATTAGCATAATTTTCTAAACGAGTAGCACGTAATAGAATACTGCCAATGAATCTTGGGTGAAAAAGATTTGTAGAATATAATGTATAGGAATACTATACAAATTTTACCTGACGGAGACTCAGTAGGTAGATTGTTTCAAACTCGATCTCTGATTCGTCCGCATACGTATTTAACACGTTAAATAAGCATGCACTGTTTATTTGACGTAACATTTACCTTAAGACTATTTTTTCCCCAATGCAACTTTGATGAATATATTTTTTATACGTATCGTTTTATTTTAGTATATTTAAGAGAACTTTCTTGAGCGAAAGCAATAGGTATTAGTTTTAGTTTCATGTCGTTTAATTGTGTATCATAATTTAAGGTGTGATTTTAGAGGGAAATGGATAATTTGCTCAGTTATTCAGGGTGATTTCACGTTCTTTTGCCAAAGAATATTCGATTAGGTGATATTCTCTACTGAACATTTTTTGATTTTTTATTTTACGTACAAGTAAATGTCCATTCCCTTACGATTCTTTTACTGATCTTTAATTATTTATTAATTACGATGGATATAATCTCGTCATTCACATTTCGTTGAAATAAGTTTTTGATAAAATCGTAACATTGCTCAAAACTGAAGCAGTAGACCATTGAACGGATTTTCATATTCTCTTAGAGTTCGTTCGATGATTGACCGTGGTTTACTGCTCAGGAACGCTCAGGATTCGTTAGAGCGAACGGCACTAAAGGAAAGGACTTGTACCCTATAATAATAGAACCAAAGAGTTTAAAAATGTTCGCGAAGATAGCAGTATGTCGTCTCTTCCTTAAAAGAACACTTCTTAATCTTGGAGAGTAGCAGTTCGAAAGGTGTCCTAAATGCTGATGGATTTCAAAGAAGATAAACTGAATCCACAGTAGAAAACTTGTCCATGGAATTGCATTTATCCTCCTGGTTTAAGAAAGGAGCTAAATTCTTTCCATTGAAGTTAAGTAGAGTATAAGACGAAATGGTCATTTTCGCAGACCTAATGTATAAGACGTATATTTTAACAAGGTGTTACTGGACGAGTGATTGTTATGTACAATTTCCAAAAGGAAAATAATTTGAATGATAAGAGGTAACGTATGTATTTTTCAAACCAAGATATTTTTGAATAAAATAAGTGTAAAATTAGGATAAGTTTTATTGCATATCTTGTAATACAAAAAATAGAGAGGTGTTCTTGTGATTAATAGACTGCGGGTTTCTATGCGAAATAGATTTTAAAGTATCATTTAGACATTTGTTTAGAGTATCATTTAGACATTCTTTACATCCTCTGGAAATTTTTCTATGAACGCATAAAATCCGCAGTCAAATAATTAGTGAACGCGTATCGTGGTGTTATTGCTGTAGATGATCCTTGCCAGTTTCGAATAGACTCCGTAAGTAATTCCTAAAAGCGATCCTAGCCAGTCGACGAAATGTCGGCTGAGCGTGACCGGAAACTGAAACCCGGTCCTCGGCGTGACGAACTCTACCTCGCGATCCTTTTCATTTTCCACCTCGTCCTCGAGCTCCAAAGGCTCGAGGCGATCCAATGGTTGGATATCGTTCGCCCAATCCTCGTTCGTTCCCAAATAAGTTCGTTGGGGCTGGAAGTTCGCCCCAGTATTCTTCCCGTTGTCTTTCGGTTGCATCCGAATCGACCAAATTGATTTAACCGGCTCCGCTTCTGGGGCAGCCTTGCTCGTATCCTTGGCCAAAATTTTCTCCACGTTGCTCGTGTTCTCCGGCTTTCGAAACACGAAGTCGTACGTGGCTCGCAATTTTCCTAGCAGCCTGTCCAGTGGTTTAGCTTCGTCGTTCGTTCCTTCGGGTTGAGAAACATTCGCTTCTCGTTGAACCGGAAACAGTCTCGTTATCTGTGGCTTCGATTGCACTCTCGTCATGGAGAGCTGAAAGTTCAACATTTTTCTAGACTTTTAAAGATATTCATTTAGCCAATTTTAGAAGAACAGATTTAATTTTAGTAAATGGCTCGATCAATTTCGCTAATTAGATTACTGTCCGGTTTAAAGGGATCGTTCATTGTTCAAAGTTCTATTGTGAACGGTAGGGATTCTTCAAAGAGATTATCCGGACGTTCAGATAAAACGTAAACGAAGTTTCTCATTCCGGCGCGAGGAAACGAAGGGGAAGAAATTCTCTTTGAACCACTGTGTGCCTCTATCATTACTTCAATCGAGCACCGAGTCCGGAAATGAAAATTCCTTGTCGAACTCAGTGAAACAATTGTTAGATTGTTCGACGAGCCAGAATTTACTCTTTTAATTGGCATAGCAAAAAAGGACGTTCCCTTTAAATTCAATCAATCTTTATTTCATTTCATTAAATTCTACTTTCCTGCTTATGAACGGTCATTTTATTAATTTGTCAGTAGAATACTCACGCAAAGGAGGCAATACACGACGAGCAGAAGCTTCATATCGTCGCGCGTTTCCTATCGATTTTGTTTCGTCCGCGGCGAAGTTACAACTGAAGGACTGATTGATTTCAAAATCCATTTATACCGACGTGCGATGCATCGGCGTAGCATCACGATCCGTCTAATTCCGTCGCTATCGTCTCCCTGACCCTCCCACACACGCCTTTGCCTTCTGGACACCATTGATACATCATTGCCCAACGGTAATCGCTATTCGGAGCACGTAATTCGTGGGCTAGGCTGGACGAGCAATAAACAATATCTTGGGTCAAGGTGCGTTGCAAAAGTTCGCGAGGGTGCTCAGAGGTGACCGCAAGACTCCAGGTACGTGAAACACTCTTTTCATTTTAATTCGTAATGATTCATTACGACATAATTTATTCATAAGTAATCGAGTGAATCATCTAAAGATTCGGCAGTCACAAAATCATGGATGAATCAACGTTCATTGTATTCATAATCGTTGAATCGTTTAAGGGATTCCTGTGGTTTTCAAAGATCAACGCAATACGTACTTAAAAGTCTCGCTTTATTTATTATAATTAATATTGACACTGGATTTCCTCGCAAAAGAGATCAGATACACAATTTGAATATAAAATGTTACGGAGAATAACGTAAGGGTAAGAGAGGTCTCAGTTCCTTGCTGATGTCGCTCGAGGTGTTGTCCAGATCGCGAATGGTCTGGTTGGTCCTCAGTTTTGCATCGTCCCGCGTCAGCTCGTTCCGTTCCAACACCTTCCCCAGAATCTTTTTCATCTGGGGACCTATTCCGCCCTCCGCGGAAGTTTGCAACGTGTTTAGAACTTCGTCCGAGTATCCGGTGTACTTGCCGAAGCCCTGCTTCCTCGCGTCCTTGCTCAAAGAGTCGTACAAGTTGGCGAGTTGCAGCAGAGTCGCGCTCATCGGCACTTTTGCTCGTTTTAAGTAGCTCGATAGACTCGGCCTCGGCACCTGCGTCACCTTCTCGCCTAATCGAGTGAATCTGCAAGTATTTAAAAAATTAGCATTCATGCCAAATGGAATTTCTCTTATTGTCGATATATAAATACAATTCTTAATCCTTATTGTATTAGTTATTGAATAGTTGCAAGAACTTCGAATTGATTCGACGTAAGTATAACTACGGGTAATAAATCATCTAGTAGGATTCTAAGTCGGACTTTTGGAGATTGAATTTATGCATTCCATTGGGAATAGAGTTTTCAGTTTCATAACAAGTTAATGCTAGGAGCGAGCCGAGCTTCTGTATACTATGTTCAATTGTACTAACTTTCGGGCGAGGCTCAGATCGATCTCATCCGGTACCAGAACAGCGAGATGTTCCACCTATCTCACTTTAAATTACCCGTATAAACCATCAAAACAGAATTCAAACTCGAGCGAGTACTCGAAACATCAGAATCGTTATCACAGGAATTAAAGTAAATATCCTAACTTCTGTAACAAGTTCTAATTTTTTTATAATTTAATGATACGTAAAATGATAAGATAAAATATGCCAATAATTAGAAATTTAGGACATTCACGAAATGGAGAATTGAAATTCTTTACCTGTTCTCGTCTTCCTCTTCTTCCACGCTCTCGATTTTTTCTACAAAATCTCCTGCACTCTTCTCCTCGTCAATGAATTTCGACGTAGTGGGTTTTACGATTTGGTAGACATCGTGGACAATGCTATCGATGGTCGGTTCCTTCTTTTTCTCCTTTACCTCGTTTGCAACGGTAGTGGACATCGTCTCTGTTTCGTGATTTTCCTCCATAAACTCCTGATTCGATTCTTGCACCGCATGTACTTCTTCCGGTGTTTCATAATTCGTTTCTGGTGTCGCGTAGTTCGTTTCTGGCGTTTCCTCGTTTATCTCCGGTGCTTCCTGATGCACCTGACCAACAATCTCGCTAGGCTCGACAGACTCCGGTTCATCATTTCCTTCAATACTTTCCTTAGAATCTTCTACCTTCTCCACTTTCGGCTCTTCAAGCTTGTCTTTTAAATCATTTTCTGGTCCTTTTGTTTTCGACTCCTCTTCGTCGATACCCGTTCCGTTTAATGCAACTGAGGGTGTAGGTACATTTGAAGACGTTTGTACATCTTGAAGTACAAGAGCCAAGGTAGAAGTCTGGATAGCTTCCTCTGCTTGCAAAGCTTTCAGTTGCTCTACAGCGTGAAATATCACCTGACGATTAAAAAGAAAAGTAAATTATTATAAGTAGAATTATGCTTATATCCGCGTATTTACCTGCATAGCTGCTGGAAGATAAGAATCCGAGTAAACGGGCTTAGCGAAGGCAGGCGGGTTCCTAATAATCCCGCAGATAGCCTGAAGCAAAGTTTCGTTATCGGAATTTGTTAAGTACTGCAATAACTTCGGTAATAATAATAATTCGGATAATAACGTATCAGCAGTACTAATAGTCGAGGAAATTCACGGCTACGTCTACGGTTACTCAGTGGTATAATTAAGACGGGAGGAGGAACAAGTAAAAGTTCTGGCAGAGGATCGACCGGAGCCTCGAGGAAAAAACGACACGACGAGCTTAAACTTTCCCAGAGTTAATTAAAACTCGACGTTTTATCTGCGCCGACCTAAGTGACTCGACTTCTTTCTTACTTTTTATTCTATCTACGAAGTTTTCGAAAAACTCTCCGATCGATGCAAACAGTCGATGGTACATTAAAATATACCCGTTTAATTAAAACGGCCGTAGTTCCTAGACGACGTTTCTTTCTTCGATTAAATAGAATGTAATTCGTAACTCGTTTCAAATTATAATTGTGACGCGAATTCCTCACCTGTCGTGACAATAGGACCAACAGAAAGCAAGCAACAGTCTTCATTCTGTTCTCTTAAACATCAATCTTGGGTAGAAATCGTTCTTCTTCTCTTTGGCTTTCAGGACGATCGCACTGTGTATAAGCGAATTTTAGGATATCATTTCCTCGTGGAGACAATCCGCGTCGGGCGGTCACCGAATCGCAACTGGACGATCGAACCGGTCCAGGCCACCGTAGTGTTGTCCGATTCTTTGATTTTGCTTCAAGGTTCGCAGCTGAGCGTCGCCGCCGGACTGGTCCCAGCCCTGTCTCGAAAAGGTTCTCTCCTAACGGTATATCGCTAATACATTCTCAATCATTGGTCGCGACGAGGAAGAAACTCCGTTCGCGAACGTGTTGACTTGTGACACGCGAGCCGCGATCGGTATGCGTCGCGACGCGCGTCCGTCAATCGAAATTCCGCTACGCGGATGACCAACTCGTTTCTCGATATCAAACGTACAGTTTATACATTATAGAAACCGTCTAAGTGAATCAATACTCGTTTTCATTAACTCCATTTTGGAATTAAACTTGACTTGGATTAATGAACGGAATTCAACACGTTCAGAGTAGATTATTTCTCTTGGAAGTTAAATTAGATTTAATTATCTATTGTCAAAATGATGAAAGGTAGCGAATCAGGTAGAGCGAATTCAAACGATATGGTACTTTCGTTCTCGGAAGAACGCGACCTTGCACAAGGTTCTCGTAGCCGGAGGGGAAAAGGAACGAGAAGTAGTGGACACTGTCTGATGGTTTCAAGGCGATTCGGTTATGGATCTCAAACGAGCATAATCGAGGAAAGGTCGACCGGTCCTGGACACGTGTCCGCGTCGCTGTCTTTCTCGTTGTCTCTCGCATCCGTTCCTTCTTCCTACATAGTCAGTCATTTTTCTCTTCGTTGAACGCTTTGAATATTTTTCAAAGCGCTCACTCTCATTTTGCAATCTCCGGTGGAATACAGTTTTATTTACACTCGAGATGATATTCAACGAGGAAGTCTCTTTGAGGCAACGTCGAATAGAATAATTGTTGATTGGCCGGAACCAGGAATTAGATTTTATAATGTTATGGAAGGGGAACGGTTTCGCTTAAAACGCGACAGCGTGAATGCCTCTAGGTGTTGAGCGCCGTAGCACAATTTGGTAATTGCGCTGTTATCTCGGAGGCATGTGGGTACCACCATTCGATAAAGCGAATCCTCGCGTACAGGAAGCGGTATATATTGCTGCTCGTAGTTACAGCTACGCTTTTCACGCAGTTACATCTAGTTCAGTGAATACTTTTGAGATTCAAAGGAAGCAATGGCGTCGGTTTTATTCCTGATTTTCTTGGTAAGACTAATATCCTAATTCAAATAGAAAGCAATTATTATCTTTCATCTCTCTAACGGGATACGTATTCAGCTGGCTGGAACTTATGCCAAACCCGCAGAATTGACAGAGGAGTCGATCAATAATATAGATCAGGGCACGGATTTGGATATCGAGAATCAAGACCCTATCGTCGTCACGACTCTCAAAGATAGCATAATTCAAAGTGTGAGTATATTGCGAGAATGTATCTATTCATTTGTAAGACGTGGTAGAGGTCTCGTCGTAAATGATAAAGTACTCGGCTTCGGAGCCTCTTGTTCGTAACAATAAAATGCAAATAAAACACTTCGGAAAAGACCATAAATCGCGGCTTTACGCTGCGCGCAACGCCGGCTATAAAACGAGCATAACGGAAGTTCTTTATGCTCGCCGCAGAAATTACGCCGCTGGTTACCTTAAGCTATTCTAGCTCTGACGGATCTATTTCGAGATTTAAAAATCTCGAGGGATAAATTTTGATAAAGCACAGTTTGTTTTTGCTGTAATCCTGAAAAATGCTGAGCACACCTCGTGAAACTGAAATTCTCTTTTGTATCGTCCTGATTACAATTACGAAAGTACGGGACAGGCAACTTGATTTAAAGCTTGATGAGACGGAATTGAATTTTCAGTCTGACAGTACCAGCACCACTTCTAAACCGGGTCTGTTCGCCTGGTTTCTGACGCCGTTGACCCAGAATCTTCAGATCAGTCCTGAAACTCTTCAGAACCGCGTCACACAAATCAGAGAGACGTTGAGCAACTTAGGCTGGCGAAATCGCAACACCAACGGCAAACAATTAACGGGGAACGCGAACACTCTGGTGCAGCTCGCGGGTCCCAATGATTCCGGTTTCTACACGAATCGGTTGGACCCGGCTGGGTTCTTCGGTGGGAACGGTTGGCTGGCGAACAAGGGTGGAATTCTGGGTGGCCCAGGTGCGATTCTGTCTACCGGAAGCGTCCTCACGGACTATCCCACCGCGTACAGGCGAAAATAGATGATAAAGAATGAATTCCAAAGATAATTCCAAAAGAGAATCTGTCGATGGTCGGATCGAAGGAACAGCGGAAAGGATGGCAGTTTTTAGTGTTCGAAAAATTATATTGTAACATTGCTGTTGCTTGTGTGAATATTTATTAGTTTGGGTCTCCTATTTCGAGGAACGGTTTGCGGGAATAAAGACGGATCGTAGAACAATAAATAGTTGTTAGAGCGAGCGCGTGCAGTTGACAAAGGTGATGGACGAGGAAGAAATCGCAAGCGTAAATAAAAATGTACATTAAAGGGAATCGGGGGCAAATAAAGTAAGCAGATAATTCCGACGGAACGTGCGCGAGACGGAAGTGGAAATTTTTCCGTTGGCTCGCCGCGCCTGTTAAAGTTCGCGACGGTGAGAGCTTTTCAATAAATAAGCAGCTTTCGACCAATGGAAGTCTGGAATAACCCGACGATTCTTTTTGCACGCCGTTTCCTCAGCGATACTTTAATGAGTCAACAATCTTCCGAGTCTAAAAGCTAATAGGGGAAGAAGTTTCCATCTAAAAACTCCTCTCAAGTTCCTTGTTCTTGTTACACGGTGTTACAGCCTCGCAATTTCTCGAATGTTGGTCTCCTTCCTTGCCCGTCGATAACAGATTCCAACGCAAATTCAATTTCCTTTACAACTATCTTCGTCGTCGAGGATTTAATAACCCTTATATAAGATTAAAAGTCGGAGCCAGGGAAGTGACGATCATTTTTTGAGAATTTAATTATCTTCCCACGACGCGTTTCAAGATATTTTTTGTTTCATAAGAATTGCACGGTATCCTCAAGCAGAATTAATTAACGGATTCTACCAGTTGGCTGCGCGCGTGCTCATACCAGGACGTAACTCGTGTTAGAATTGTTCCGCGATTTCGATATCAAAGTTTTAACGAGCTCTCGTCGCAATATGCGTGGCACTCTGCATTTTCTCCTAAAAGAACCGGGATCAGTCACAGACGCATGTGTACTTAATGGAAAATGCGAGTCGACAGAAATGCATTACGACTCGTTTTACAATTCACTGCGTTCACTGTTCGAAAAATGAATATCGTCTCTACGTGTTCCCCTGTTGCCACGATTAATATATGTAGGTTGCATCTTTTCATCCTGAATTTTTTCCTATAATATTTACACGTTCCGCTACAGAAAAATCATATGATGTATAGCGTTCGCTAAAAGCTAGAATCGCGAAATGTGGTTTTATCTGAAAAAACCGGCGATATATCAAAGGATGGTGGGAGATACGTCCGGGTGGGGACGTGACAGCTCGAGCGAGCGCGTCAGGGCGGCAGTCGAGGCTCGTCGGTCAGCGGGGGAGGTTGCGCTTACGAATACCGCGTGGAGCACGTAAACGCGCGGCGGCGGGCAACGTGTATACAAATGGTACGCAATAGTAAACGAACCACTTTCGACGTAATAACGATTCACGTACCGTGTCACTTTGCTGATTGATTATACAAAATCGCGTGTGAATTCGTGTGGTGTTCACTTTGAAACGCTTCGGTTGATCGACCGCGCTACCCTCTCTTTCTTTCCCTTTGGATGATAAAGGGGCTGACTCGGTTCTCTTTGGTCCAGTGGTAAGAAAAGGGATGAGAGGGATGATCGAGTAACGAGGCTGCCTTTGGGCGTTCGTCGTTGATTTTGATGGAGCATGGGAACCACGTGCGTTTCGTACCACGTGTGACATGATTTTTTTACCGGTGAGTCCATTTTTCGTTTCGATTTACGATTCGAATATTCCAGCTAACGAGAAGCGTGCGTCCTCTTCGGGGTTCGCGCGGGCCGAGTACATAGGAATACGCTAGGAGCAGATCGTAGCATTATTTATTTTTTTCATTACTTTAAAGTCACGAGGCTGTGCGGACGCTTTCATATCCACGCTGTTTATTAGTCATGCGATACGTAATACATTAAGTAGATTAATAAAAGCCGTATAGTAATAGCATTTTTTGGTTCAGAGAAGAGAAACGTAGGTAGGCGTCGGCACAGGATTCGTTTGCACTATAGTAGGAAAAAACTGAGGGGATTGTAAATGACGTTTTCAATGCTTTGTATGGAACGAGTAGGTAGGAATTAAGAGAAATTATTATGGAATTGAATTACCGTAGTTATGAAATTTCAATGAAGTCCATTCCATAGTCCACTGTCATGCTTTATTTAATAACGAGAAATACCAGGAACGCATATAGTCTATAATACGTTTTCATGTAATTTCGGAATTTCCTAAGTGGGATCAACCATTGAATAGATCCAGGTAAACCATGCCAGTTTCCCAGAACATTTATACCCATAAGATCGCTAATTTCTTCCAGGAATAGTTTAACTGGTTTCTCTGAAAAACGATATCTTTTAATTTAAATAAAAATCCATTTAACTCCACATGGAGAGAAAAAGCCGGCGACGATGAAATTCTGTGGAGCGGGAGAATTTTTTTTTGCAAGAGTAACGTTGGATGCGTAAATTCATCAAATTTTTCCCAACTGAAATCTTTCTCCCTCGTCGCGATGTCGAGAATTTTCGCGAGTGAAAATTGAAAAAGCTGGCCTCGTGTACACAGCGAATACTGGAATTATTTATTTAAGCCAGTAAAGGTGTATACCCGGAGATCGAAATGAATCTTGGCAATCACTCTGCTATCTTTCTCTGGGAGATAAAAAGAAAGTCTCTGTATTAAAATTAACAAAATTTATTTCGTTCATCAAAAATTGTTTGGCATTCAAAAACCGACGTTCGATTCGCATCAGATTAAAAACTGGAACTAGATTCAGATCGCATCGCGTGGAAGAAAAATATGGACTACACGATATAATATAGATTAAACATACGCGTTTGACAGAGGAAAATGGGACACGGGAAAATAAAGTCGTGTCGTTGGCTGAAACGAGATAGAAGATATAGGGACGGTGCGCCGTGATTAAAACAAATGTCTACAAGCCCAATACGGCAATTTCTCTTCATAAACAGAATTTCCGTGACGACGACATAAACGATCCTAAATTTTTAGTTCCATTTTAAATGCGTTTCGACAAATTTACTTCCCTGTTTCTTGAATATACATATTTCCATATTGAAACGTTCATTTATATTCAACGCGTTACGTGGATTTAGAAATTATTTCATCGAGAATCGATTACGGAAAAATATCCAGCTTATTTTTCGATTCCGGAACAGACAAATTAATATCGAATCGAGTGAACGATCAAAGGAAAAAATGAGCATTTTCTATGAATTGTTATTCGCCCTTTCAACGTTGAAAACTTTTTGCTGATTCTATTCTTTGTGTCTGAAAAATGCAAAACGATCTGTTGAAACGCGTTGTACGAGTAGATGGCCTCGAATGACTAATTGGCGACAAACATAATTTTATTTATCTTCAAACGTTTTCGTTTTGTATCAGCGCATGTAATTGCGAAGATAGGTGTTCGTTTTCTTTCATTGTAGCCCATTTATGGGCATTCATTGACGGCCGCCCATCATTTTATCTTAGATAATAAAACATTGACAATTTCCTAGAAATTATATATAATTCTCATGTATTCGAGTGTAACGTTTACTAGCTAATTATAACAATACAGGATCGTAAAACAAGACGTTGCATAATTTCTCTCATTGCAGAGATCAAGAAGTGAAGATTAGCCAAAAATAAACACGGTCTTGCAATTAACGAGCGGTTCGAGATAAAGTTGCACTCAACAAGAAAATACGTTTCATGGCTTGATGAAAATCTCGAAGGTTACCGCGAGTACCCGAACCGCTTTATCGTGAACCGTAAAAATATGCGTGGAACGAGGACCGTTTCTTTTTTGCTATCAATTTGCAGTGAATCAAGCCCGCGGTAGAATTATTTTTACCTGAACGGTAACGTGACCGAGTGGAATAAGTCGCGGCCGAAAAGAGCGTTTCGCGATTCCTCGACAGCCAGCTATCGTCCGTCGAAAGACTTTTCAGACACGCTATTCAAGGTAGAGTTCGTGTCAGAGTTCGACTTTAGATTTAGATAACGTTACGTGAATAGCCGAGTGACTACGAAGAGCGGTAGAAACAGTTTGTCAAGATATTAAAAGAAGTTTAAATTGTCTTTATCAAACGTTTCTGTTTCCGACGTATCTGACGTTCTTCGACATTTATGAAACAGCGTTAGCTCGATCTTACAGGAGTACACTAATGGAAACTGACAGGGGACGTCTGTACGTACGGTGGAAAGATTTTCTCTGATTTTTCCAGGCGACGTTACATAATATTTTCATAGACGGGAGCGAAATATTACGTTACTCTACCTTGTATCTTCCCGTCTGTTCGCGTTTATGTAACTGCGACGGATCGTCGCCGCGACGACTTGAAAGGGAAAAGCTCGTCCATCCGTCTCTATGATCCATTCTAGTTTTTTTCCCCCTTTTCTTTGCATGACGTATCGGTTAGCAATAAACCGGGTTGGCGGACGTAGATGAGGATCGATGATACCAGACTTTTTGTTCGACCGCCCGCTTTGGAATTCGATCGAAAGATCGGTGAAAATCGGATTTAATTGCGTCGCACGACACGGGATCAGTCTTCGTTTCGTTGTGCGAATTAAAACAGGGATGTGACTCGTTCTAATTGAACGACCACGTGCCTGTTTCTGTCGGCCGGATGTAAGAACTCACCCTGCATTCGGATCCTTTGTTTATACGTAATTAGCGTCCTCGTGGATAATGAACGCTTTCAGGAATGCTCGCAGCGGAATTCCGTGACGCTCTCACGGTTGGAATATTAGGGCTTCAAAGAACAGCGACGAATTTCTAAGTTAATTTAAACTGCAGAGAAGCGCGCGTACAATTTCAAACGCTAGACAAATTACAACGCGTATTTCTCAAAGGGAACAAGAAAATCCATTATTCTATAATAATCCTCTTGGCTCTTGAGTTCGAGGAATCAAGGTTCGTTTAGATCGAATCGTGCAAGGAGCGAGACGGTCTACGGGGGGCATTGCATCGGGTCGAAGCGTTCAATTATCAATGAATCACGTCACTCGGATCGTTTATATTTGCTTGATGGCAAATGTCAGACCGGGGAAAAAAGAGGAGGTCTGTCCTAGTGACGCAAACGAGATCTCGCGTTTACGCGGGCACGTGGTAGAGGTGACTGTACCTGGGACAAAAGAAGAAAAGTCTACTAGTGGCAGTCGAGGATCCTCGAGGGTAGTAGTATGGTCCGTGCAAGGTCGGCCGCGGCTCAATAAGCCTGCACCGGATAAGCCAAGGTCGAGTATCTTGCTCCTTGCGTTCGTAATTCAATTAACCGAGCTCCTTCGCGAGTTAGAACCAGTCTCTTTTAAAACGATAGGCCAGCCGATATGCCTAGGAACGAGTCGTGGTCTTAAAAGGGAACACGGCGGCACTTTATCGAAAAACGTTCGCTTTGGAAATTCGAACCGGCCGCGTCGTAACATCCTTTTATTTCCAGTCAAGCTGGAAAAGCTCTCGAACTATATAAAACTGGTATAAAGTGCTTAGACATTGAGACGTTCGGTTAATGGATCCGCGGATAACAGCGTGTCAAATATCCTTTCGGAAACCTTCCCTCCTGACTCCTCGCTCTCGAACCGAAAAATTTTCGACGAATCCGACGTTCCGTTTTCACTGCGCTATCGGCGTACGTGTCACGGTATCGCTTGGGGTATTTACCGGAAGGAGCAAGTAGGGTAGGTTCAAGGATAGGGCGAACTTCTCTGAAGGATCCTGCTCGGATATTCCACCCACGTGGTCTATTCTTCCCTTTCTATGCAGATTACGAACCCGCCGCGTAGCGTTACGACGGCCCTGCGTCCCACGTGTTACCGATGCGTGCCAAATTGATAATGAAATTGCACCGGTTACGAGAGGCTCGTTATTTAGCGAAATAATTTCGTATCGTCAACCCTTCGCAACGTCGATCTGTTCACGTGCGCTATAATATTCGGCACGCCGACGTTCGTGCAATAATTATAAAGGACAAAGTTCGTCTCTGAGATAATCGAATACAGTAATTAGGAGTTAATGCGAAGTGCTGGAAATTCGAATGCGAAGTTATCTTTAGACGCTGTCATAGTTGATAGTAGTACTTTCGAAGTGCAAGGTTTGGAATCGTGACATTTAATCAATACCGCGGTTGGCTTCGTTAGTTCACTTAATGAAGTACATGCATGTATCTTTAACGAAGCACTCGCATTCAAAGCTTAACGAACTGTGTGCTGATATTCATATCGTATCCAAATTGTCGAACCGCACTACGTGTCATCAAACGCTATTCAACGATTTTTAATCGTTAAGACCGAGTTCACGTGTGCCTCGTGAAGTTTCATTAAATTTCGTTGGCTACGCGAACACAGAATTTCTTACGAGGATACGTCTCATCGCCGTTGGCCAAGAGCCGGGCCTATCGATTTTCTTAACGCGCATCTCTCCACTGAAAAATAAACTTTCGTTCTTTACTCTTGACACAATTCCCTTTTGTCGAGCCGGAAACGTGGCCAACGGAAACGGAAACCAGGCTAAAGGAAAACAGTTTGTCTTCCGGGTGAATGCCAAGTGTATCGAGGACATTTTTGGAGACCGCCCAGAGCAGTTTGAGAAATCTTAACGAGGAACTACGTATAAGAATAAAACTTCTGATCCGCGGTGGGCGGAGATGAAAACTTCACAATGGCTCATACGTTTGCGCCTACGTCTCGGGAATCTATTAAACCAGGAGCCGAGAGAAAAATTCAATTCGTGTTTCAGAGACCGTACGAAAAAGATTTACGTCCCGACTGACCGCGATTACTTCGCCGCTGTGAGAAGAGTACAGCAAATTGCATCAGTCTGTGCATTTACTTTCATGAGGTTCGGCAACGGAATTGGAAATTATCAATTTCCCCGGTGGAGATAACGCGTTTCCGTTTAATTAATACTCCACTAACTATTGCTACTGTCGGTCACAACTTTATTCGCAATTTGTATTGCATGCGTTTGCGAATCGTAACGTTGATTAATACCACGCACGATGCAGATTATCGAACTTGTTCTGTAAATATTAGGCGACTGAGTTGCAAATAGTATTAAACGAGTTACGATGTTCGAATTTATACGCGAAACATTCTATTTCCTTTATAGAACGTTTATTCAAAAACATCGGAACATTTATTTTTCACTATAAATATGTATGCGTTCTATCAAGAGCGTTTTCTTGGTTCCTTCGAAAAACATAAATGATTCTGCCTTGGTAATGTTGAAAAACCTCGAAGGTACCGGCGCGGAACAAACGTATCTCGCGAGAGCATTTTCAATCTCGAAAACAACGATGAACGGGAAAAAAACGCGGACAATCTGATTTCGTAGCGTGGTTAAATTGGAACCGGTCCGCGGAGCTAAACGACATTAAAATTTATGAAAATCGTCTGGAGTCTCCTTTTGTACCCTGAAAAAGAAATGCGAGCAAACAATATCCCTCTGGTCTCTTCAGGCTTTCGTTCATAAATTTCCATCCACCGCTGCTGTAGCTCGCGAAAACAATCGGGACCGTTACCATCTGCGTTCGTTTTCACGTTTTTTTCGTGCGCATTGGGATATGGAAATAAAGACTCCTGAAAGATATTAGCTCGGTTCTCCAATATTTAGCTAACTCTGAGAGATCAAGACTGTTTATCGATTAGTCATAGTTTACTTAAGGATGTATTGGCAGTCAATCCCAAAAGTTTATGTACCTTAGAAAAACGCATTTCCTATAATTAAAAAGAAATCAGATGTCGGAAGAACAATGCTAATAATAAATAGCTACGTGCTAAAAAGTATAGAAGGAAATATCCAATTAAGTATTGACGCTGACGAAAATTCTTTTCTTCAAAATTGCGAAAAATGCTTCAAATAAAAGTTGTTCTTCTTCTAACTTCGATATTTAACGAGTTACGTATGATTATTTGACATTTTATTGATGTTGACGAAATCCGACCATTCCACCGTCGAATTAGCGAACTTTTGGCAAAAAATTTCGTTTTCCCTCAATAACTCCTAAACCGTTGGTCGTACGAGAAAATTGCATACAACCTTTCTTGTAGAGGACGGCGAGATCTACAATTTCCATATAAAATTTTTTCGCTAGCGTCAATAGTTTACGAG